CTCGGCGGGGAGCCTGCTTCTCCCTCTGACCCTCTTCCCTCTCATGTGCTCTCTCTCATTCTCTCTGTCTCAAATAAATAAATAAAATCTTTAAAAAAAAAAAAAAGGAAAAGAAAAAAACTGGTGGATCTACTTTTGGTAGAGTGACCAAGGAAAGCTTCTCTGAGGAAGTGACATTTGAGTTGAGACTCCAGTTATGTTAAGGAGATGGTCATGCAAAGATATGGGGGAAGATCACTCCCAGGTAGGGGGAATCTCTAAAACATTTCCCAGATACCCCCTAAATGAACCCAAGAACAAATCTCTAAGCCTCTCAGAATGTATTGCACCCTAAAAACATATTTGGGGGGCACCTGGGTGGTTCAGTCAATTGGGCATCCAACTCTTAATTTCGGCTCAGGTCATGATCTCAGGGTTGTGAGATCAAGCCCCATATCCGGGCTCCGTGCTCAGCAGGGAGTCTGCTTCTCTCTCTCTCTCTGTTTTTCTTTCTTCCTCTGCCCCTCCCCCTGCTCATGCTCTCTTTCTCTAAAAATAAATAAATCTTTAAAAAAATTAAAACAACCTATTTTGAGCAATAAAAAAAGGGCATCTAATCTTAAAGTAACATTTCTTATGTTCTGCCCCTCATCTGTGAGCTTGAGAAATGGTTGATTTCTGCCACCCGGAGCTGGCTGCCTTTTATTGCTACCTGCACAGACTTCTGAATATGAGGCCAAATAAACCCTAGACACCGAAAACATACTGTAAAGTTACATATTTGGAGACTAGGAGAGGAAACAATAATTTGTGAAGCCATCTAATATAAAATAATGCAGTGGTTTGAGAAGGTGAGATGGATTTGGATTTTGAATTCTGGCTCAGCACTTAGAGCTGAGTGACCTCTGAATCTCTGCTTCCTCAGCCATAACAATAAAGTTTTTATAAGGATAATAATGATCATGTATGGAAAAGTGCTTAACATGTTTATATATAGTAAGTTCCCAGTGAGTGTTAGTTGACATATCGTTTAAAATAATCTACACAGTGTGTTAATTCAAGGATCCCTAAGCTCCTCCACTGAGCTTAGCACCCCGCTGGGCCCTGTCAGAACCACAAAAGAAGTATCAGAAATGGTAACTTGTTCACATTCACTCGGCTAGCAAATGACAGAGCTGAGATTTCTAACCCAAGCACCATATTCTTAACTACTCATTTACTGCCATTATGTAATTAGAAAGGTGATAAATCACATGGTCTCAAGATGAAAGAGAAAGTTTGGCAAAGGAAGGAGCCCTGGAAATAACTCTTAGAAAAGCATAGGCTCAGGACGCCTGGGTGGCTCAGTCGGTTAAACGTCTGCCTTCGGCTCAGGTCATGATCCCGGGGTCCTGGGATCGAGCCCCGCACACATCGGGCTCCCTGCTCAGCGGGGAGCCTGCTTCTCCCTCCGCCTGCCGCTCCCCCTGCTTGTGCTCTCTCTCTGACAAACAAATAAATAAAATCTTTAAAAAAGAAAAAAGAAAAGCATAGGCTCTGTGTAGACTGAGAAGAGAGAGAAGGTATTCCAGGTGGAAGGGGAAAGCCTAAGAGACAGAAGCGGTAACAAACAAATGAGCCCACCTGATAGGTTTGTGTGGGGAAAGAGACCAAAATCATGTGACATCATAGTCTCCCTGTTGGGACGTAAATCTGACAGGCCCCTTATTAAGCAGATCCCTTCACATTTTCTATTTTTCTTGCCCTTCCTAGAGTATTAACTAACCTGCTCTTCGACCTCTTTCAGGCTCTTCGAAACCCTCCAGTCTCTCTTCTGGTCTGTCTTCGGCCTTTTAAATCTCTATGTCACCAATGTGAAAGCCAGACATGAGTTCACAGAGTTTGTGGGAGCTACCATGTTTGGGACATACAACGTCATCTCCCTAGTTGTGCTGCTGAACATGCTGATTGCCATGATGAACAACTCCTACCAGCTTATTGCCGTGAGTAGCTTTGCTTGACAAGGGTGATTACTTCATTTCTGGAGTGGTCACATTGGCCTGGAGCCCACTGGAAGCTCAATGAAGCAGTGTGTCGGCATCAAGTATTTTCCATTAGCTTTCCCAGTTGTTAGAGTGAATTATTTCTCTCTAAGGCAACTCGGTTTGGACTCTGAGTCCATTGAATCTGAGTAATCTAGAAGAGGACGTTCTAGTTAATAAGACTTTCTAGTTAATAAGACTTTCCAGTTGTTAGAGTGAATTGTTTCTCTCTAAGGCAACTCGGTTCGGACTCTGAGTCCATTGAATCTCAGTAATCTAGAAGAGGACGTTCTAGTTAATAAGACTTTCTGGTAGCCTTAAAACTCTGAATCCATTTTCTTGCCTTACGAAGGAGAGCTTGGGAGGTCTGAGCACAGTTTGGCTATAACTTGTCACTCCACTAATCTCCAGGGTGGATTGAGCTGACTGGTTCTCTAGGCAGGAGGGTCTTATCTCCTTCATCACTGCAAACATGTTCCTCACAAAACTGAGCCAAAGGTTGCCAAAGACAACCTTCTCAGACAGAGAGTGACTATTTTTTGATCAAGAATATATGAGTAATTACACTCCACTGTGAGACACTCTTTAGTAGAGTCAATCACTGAATCTTTTTTTGACCATCATGCTACCATTTGGATCAGCAATATTACCCTAAACAAGAAATGGTGAAGGTACAGGACAGGGGATTGGTCCAGGCCCTGCCCTGGTTTTTGATGCCAAAGTAAATATCTAACCTTAGCGTATTTTCTTATGATCTGCCTATCATATTTAGAAATGGAGTATTAGCAAAGGAGTTTTGGCTATCTGAGGTCCCGTTTAGTTGGGTACCAGTGGATTTGGATGCTTAGTTCATATTAAGATGCTAGATCACCCCCATGGGTCTATCTGTTGCTGAAAGTTTTTGCTATAACACAGAAGACAGATGAAAAGACCTGACTCTCGTCTTCCTTCATTGATGCTATTTCTCAGATTTTGTCTGCCACCGAGGAATCATTTAGCCTACAGAAAAGCAGCTTAAATTATTGGTTATATAAATAAAAGTATACATATAAATATATACATAAATATACACACATTTTTACACACATAGATATACACACATATTGTCCATATTTCGTGAATATTTCTGGTGATAGTGACCATCTGTGATCCATTTCTTTTTTTTTTTTAAGATTTTATTTATTTATTTGAGAGAGAGAGTGAGTGAGAGAGAGCACATGAGCAGGGGCAGAGGGAGAGGAAGAGGGAGAAGCAGACTCCCCGGCTGAGCAGGGAGCCCGATGTGGGGCTCGATCCCAGGACCCTGGGATCATGACCTGAGCCGAAGGCAGATGCTTAACTAAGCGACTAAGCCACTCAGGTGCCCCTCTGTGATCCATTTCAATTAAGGACAGACCAAAGAGGAATGGGTTTATGCTGCAGCAGGAGGCTTTTAAGTTATCTATTAGGAGAAATTTCCTAACCATAAATAGCAATGAGATGTATTCTCCTAGGTGGGTTTGTAGAATTTCTCTCACTGGACAGTTTAAAGAAATCAGAATATAAAAGTATCCATTAGGATGGTTTAGATCTTAGGTACCTAGGTGGAGGCATATAGTGAAAAAATAATATTAGGAGTTAGAAGACCAGGGACCCTAGTCTTAGTCCTGTCATTTATAACTGTGACCTTGAGTAACTTACTTTCCCTTTGTAGGCCTCAGTTTCTTCATCCAAAAAGTAAGAGGGTTGAAATGGATGGTCTTTATTGAGATATAATTGACATATGGCATTGGGTAAGTTTAAGGTGTACAACGTGATGATTTGATACACTTATATATTGCAAAATGTTTATCATAATAAGGTTAGTGAACACATCCATCACCTCACATAAATGACCATTTTGATGAGAATATTTAAGATAGCAAATTTCTTAGCAACTTTCAAGTATACAATACAATATTGTGAACTAGAGTCACTATGCTGGACATTACATCCCCAGAACTTGTTCAACTTCTAACTGTAAATTTGTACCCTTTGACAAATATTATCCATTTCCCCCAACCCTCAGCCCCTGGCAAGCTCCCTTCTACTCTCTGTCTCTCTGCATTTGACTCTTTCAGATTCCACGTATAACTGAGATCAGACAATACTGGCCTTCTTCAGCCTGACTTATTTGTCTTAGTATAATGCCCTCCAGTTGCATCCATCCAGGATTCCCTTCTTTCTCATGGTTGAGGAATATTCTGTTGTAGATATACACACCATATTTTCTTTTTCCATTTGTCTGTCAAGGGACAGTTAGGTTGTTTCCATGTCTGGTCTCTTGTGAACAATGCCACAGTGGACATGGGAGTGCAGATATTTCTTCAAGATGATGGTTGCCTCTTCTTTGGCTATATACCTAGAAGTGGGATCGCTGAAACATAGAATAGTTCTATTTCTAATTGTTTTGAGGACCCTCCATACTGTTTTCTATAGTGCCTGCACCAGTTTGCATTCCCACCAACAGTGCACCAGGGTTCCCTTTTCTTCACATTTGCACCACACTTGTTACCTCTTATCTTTTTTTTTTTTTAGTTTTCATTTTATTTTTTATTTTTTT